TTTTTTAATTTTTTTGAATCGCGTATTGTATCATATTGTGTAGCGTAAGATAGTTTAATACCTTTAAAAATAGGTAAAAAAATAAATATGGTTATAAAAAACAAATATCTTATGAGAATAAAACACTGGATAATGTATAATTCTGTCAATTGTAAAAGTAAAGTTCCTTAAATTTAAATATGTACATGCAAAAATACATATTATCTTCACAAGGCATAGATTAATAATGCAAGATTCTTAAACCATATAATAGATATGTCAAAAAGGTCGAGAAATAAACTAAAAGGTACTACATCTCAGAAATAGCTTTTTTTTTTTAGTAAGTTAATGAAAATTTTCGACAACGTTAATTTACTTCAAATAATTTGAATATTTTTTTTTTCTAATTTGCTAAAGAAATTTAAGTATTTATGTGACATTCATATCGCATTATGTATCGCGTATCATATATTGCATCACGTATCGTATATGTATCACAAGATACATTTAACTTAGGTATGTATTGATGATATTATCGATTTCCTTCTGAAAGGTATCGAATCGTAAGATACTGACAACACTGATAAGATAATGTATCTGAGAAATTTATTGACTTCATTGATGCTGTTACTAATTGGTTTGCAACCATAAGTTTGCCTTGCATTCTATACTACTCAAAGGATTCAATGGTAACAAACACACTCTTTGCTGGGTCCATATACACATTTTTTAATGACTAAATTATGACGTAGGATAGTTTGGGCAATGTGGATGATGCTGTCCACACTTGATTTTTTACCAGTTTTAGGGCCAAGAAAGGTTGTGGATTTAGAGTTCAATAAGGTTGGATGGTTCTAGTGTTTGTGACCGTGATGGATTATGATTGTCTTGCATTTTGAAGTTAATTTGTGGAGAATAAGGCAGAAGGAATGAACTTTTGTTGGGAACAATTGACTAGGCTTGCTTTACGTTGTAATGCTGGAGTGGAATTTCATAGATTGATGCATTGAAAAAGCAACATGAAAAGAAATCATTATTTAATTAGGAGTCTTTTCTATTAGACCAATTATTTATGTTCATTTTGCTTTTCTAGCATTGGACCAATATCATGCAATATTCTCTTGAATTTATTATTTGCATAATCATGACTAAGTTCGCTCTTTCATTGGTAGGGGACTCCGCTATTTTTTTTTCCTTTTCTAAACCCTTGTTTTTGTCTCACTTACGCTCTCTATTAAACTGTTATTGGTTTGGGCAAGATGGGTAACAATTTGACCATGTCCTTTTCACTTAAAAAGGAAAGGTAAAAGAGTTTTTTTATGGCTAAAATTACATTGACCACTCCTAAGGTTTGGCTATAATACTCTCATTGACCCTATCATATAAAAAATTACATTGACCACCCTTGTCACACTTTGTTGGAAACGTTATTAACAGATGATGTCAACTTATTTTTAATCCTAATAAATTAAAGCCCTTACTATTTCTGCCAATTTATCACTCAAAACCTTTTTTTTCTCAACATAACCATCACAACCCTCTCTTGCATTGCCCAACCCTTCAAATGAAACTTGGAGAAAATCGTCTTTGACGACTCACTTCCACCACCAGGTCCAAGACCCATATTTCTCTAGCCTCTTTCGCTCCGTCTTCTATCTCTCTTTCTGATAGATCCATAATAATATGAGCCATAATGAATGCCAAGCCCTCCACCTTTGATCTAAACTACCAATCAATAATGCACGCAATAGGCACACATTCTAAATCCCGAATCAACTTCAACATCTCTGGTGAGCTGAACTTTGCAATCTCTAAATTTTAGGCCCATCTGTAAGCTCTTAAACCCATTCAACCTGTGTATTGTCCAACAATAGCTGAATGATTGTTATATTTGAATCAATGGCTGAATGATTGTTATATTGGAATCAATGGAGGAAATAGGCAAAAGAATATAAAATATATGGCCATGCTTTATTGGTGGACTTGGTGGCTAATTCATGTTGCTTATCTGGAGTAGATTTAGATGGAAATGGTGTTGATTTGTAACATCAACAAACCTTGTCTTGCATTAGTGGTATTTTGATTAGTTTACAACTACTATAGCGATACCCTTGTTGAAAAGTTTTTTCATCGCCAAGCCTTTTTCTTATTTTTGGTCAATAGTCCTTCTCAGAGCATATCTTTTATCAAGCCAGGCTTTGGGTTGTGTATGGTATCTGATAAATGATGGATGATAGGGGTTTGATTTTGGTGGTGGTGGAGGCATCGACAATGTTTGTGGTAGTTGTGGTCTTTTTGTCCAGCGAAGTGTGTGTGCACCCACCATTATGGCCATTAGCAAGTTGGGCATTGATGGCGAAGATTAGTGGAACTAAAATTCTGCATATTGTGATCCATTGCATTGGGTCTGTCATTGCCAAGCTTCTCTAAATCGAAGAGAAATACCTCTCGTGTTTGGCTATTTGGAAACTATATGGTGATTCATGGATGATTGTGTTGTTGTGGATGTTTAAGGTCGAGTGTGGTGGTAAAGTAGGTAGTGATTGGAGATTGTGAAACATGGGGTTGGAATTGGGTTAGATGATGGTGGTGGTGGTTGATGATCAAGGTTTTAAAAAGTGGCTGCAATTGTTACATAACGCCATTACGTAACGGTAGTGGTGGTTACCGCTAGCCGTTACGGCCGCTATAGCGGTGTGACAGAAATTTTCGACCATAACAGCCGCTATCATTTCGTAAAGGCCGTAGTAGCCATTACATTGCCGCTACAGCACCGTTACGGCCGTTACAACCTTTACACTTCTATATATATATATACTTTTATAAATTTTGTAGATATTGCAATTTTCTCTTTTTATTTTCTAGTTACATAGAACTTAAGAAAACATGTTATCTATACATGTTTTGAATGTCCAATCTTCAAGTTCTACAAGATTTAATTACTCTTTTACTTAATCATAATTGAATATGAACTTAATTTAATTTCATGTTATATACTTTGACATTATTATGTTGACATTTTGTATTTTGAACTTCTATTTATGAGACTATTGTTTTTAATATTCATTTTTTTTTTCTTAAGAAATCAAAAAATTATCCATAATTATAATTTGTAAAGTAAAGAAAATTAAATAAATTCAACAATAGGATAATTCTCCATAGCAACTTAAAACTAATATAAAAATTAGTATATATATTGGATCATGTTTTAAAACTAAAGAAGAATACTAAAAATCATTTTGAGCCTCACTAAATGTGATTCTGAAATAAAAACATGCATATTGGTATGTTTTCCTAAATTTGTGCGAATAATTAAAAAAATTCACGGTTTCAGTTGCCGCCACCATTACGCTACAACCGTTACACACCGCAACCACATCCGCGTTACCGCTACTGTTATGGTAACCGCCGCTGTTATTTAAAACCTTGGTCCTATGTGAATTTCAATTTTTCTGGAAGGCTGTTATATCTTGGATAAGTGTAGTTATCAAATTTCTTTATTTATTGCAGTAGTAGGGGGTAGAAAACGTCTGTGGTCATGTTACCCTTGACAATAATAAAGTGTTATCTGTGAACAAATAACATCCTACTTACGTTATGATGGACGAAGAATGACAAGCTCAAATTTGATAGTGAAATTTTTTTTCTTGTCTGACATGGAAAGACTTATACAAATTTTTTCTTTCAACGATATCCTATTTAAATTTCACTATGTTCAATTATATCCTTAAAGGGGATAACAATTTTCATTTCAGTATTATATGAAATATAAGGCATTTGACTGTGTAGGATGTTTCCCTGTAGCTTTACCCAGCCCTTGTACATATTTTGTGCCAAGTCCCGTCATAAGATCTGGGTTTCTGGAAGAGGCTTGATAGTTAGATCCAATATATCTACCCGAGTCCATACTACACAGTTTTAAAGCTATTAGGGTCTGATTATTCATATTTCAAATCCTTTGAAAAATCTTGTGCAAACTTTTAAAATTTGCATTTCATGCTTCTGTCTGTAATCTCAATTAGGATCACAAATGTTCTGTATCATTTCATGCTTTTGTTGGCATCTCCTTAAATTTTTATGTGAAGATTAGGAAATCGACCTCTAGGCATATTTGTTTCCTCTATTTTGCTTTTGACTATTAAATTACAGCATAAGTTTTTAGATGAAAATCAAGTGAGGAAATTTCTTGTCATCAGTGTTGTTGAATACATGTCATGTATTGTTATATCTCTTTTGTGCATTATGTATCATGTCTCATGTCATATCATGTATAATAAAATACATTGACATATATGACTATAGATGAATAAATAAAAAGTACTTTCATATGATAAATAAATATATTGAAAAAATGAAGTACTAAAGCATATAACCAATGACATGAAAAATTATCTTTAAAAACTTACAAATTGGACAAAAAGGTAAATATGCATTCATTAGAAACCCAAATATTCAACTCATAAGAAATTGGAAAGAAAATTCAAAATTTAATATAACAGAAGGATTAATGAGATTTCATTGCAAATAAAAAAATAACACAAAAGGTTTTTGTTTTTCGATTGGGCCCAACTTCTTGATCACTAGTTCGTTTGGTTCCCGGTTTGCAATCAATGACATGCTTTAGGACTTGTTTGGATGAGTAGCTTAAACATACTTGTTATGAGGTATATGGTCATAATCTTGGGTCTCAACCGAAATCCAAATGGACTATGTGTAAGCTCTTTGTTTCTTTCATCTGAATTAGATCCATGATAGTTGTTCAATTTTTTGTGGCGAAGGAAGTATGGGAATCATTTTTGCTTGCGGGTTTATTTGGATTTGGGTTTGTTCAATGAGTGCGGGCAATGGCAATTGACATTGCAAAATGCTCAAAAGGTCAAAGAGAAGGTATTGATATCTAATCACAAAATACATGTTGAATTGTGATACAATATGAAATTGATACAATACAAAACATATTTCACAATTCAATCTACCAACATATGAATCTGCAATACATATATTTTTCATAACGATTCTGACAATACTACTTTTCATACTTAATCTGCATTTCTTTTCTGAAATTTTCTTTTCCTTTTTCTACTTTTTTGTTCCTTTTTTCCCAAAATGATGTATGACCTTGACAGAGTTCTTATTATCAACAACAGGTTTGGAGTGGAATCTGCACCTGCAATTGTATTTTTGAAGAAACATGGAATCAAACCTGTTGTGTACCATGGTATGTCTCTCTTTTTATTTTGTTCCATAGTCTTTCTTGCTACTCTTTGTAACATAAATAATGTGTATGTACATAACAAGCTAAGCAGTCCACATTACTGCAGGACCTGCCAACAATTCATGTTTTGTAGATATAATGGAACAGAATAAACATCAAGGTAATGCTGTTTGTTTGTACTTTATCAAGTTTTATAATTAGGGCCTTGACACTATAACAAAATTTGCCCGGTCATATTACTTGAGTGAGTGCAACCATTGTGTAAATGGCTTGTTATAGTGATTCTAATGTGCAAGTAAACCTCATGTGATTGACAAGTGCAAATGTTTATGACTATGAAGTTTTTCCTCGGTACATGTTTTCCTATGTAGAAATCTTCCTTGATAATTTCCTTCACATGAATCGAATTGTACAGAACTTGTCAGGTTATGATTTTGTTTTCATTTGATAAGACGTTGTGTTGCAACCTTTTTTCCGTATTGTGTAAATTTGTGGTAGAATCTTTTGTCAAATGTGGCCCTCCTTATAAAGTAACCCTTTTTCTTTAGATTTTACGGGAGTATAAGCCTGCAGAGTGTCCACCATTTTTCCCACATAGTAGAATAAATGACTCAGTAATGCATCCTGCATAGTTGCTTTTTGTGACGGATCATCTTTGTGTCTGCATTTGAGAGTCAATGGGAAATTGACTAGGTTGTGTTTATTGGTTCCAATGGGCTGTGCTATTATACAAATATTATTATAGATATCCTTTAGCTGATTTAGTTTACTTTTGTGATCTACTAAATGCTCATAAGATGTTCTATGTTGAGATCATGGTTATCATGGACGAGAGATTAGACAAAGCATTCTTTGTTCCCATGAACCCGGGCTTTTTTTTTCGAGTTGCTTGTGTGGGCCGCTAGTATATATATATATATATATAATTATTATCATTGTCTTTATTTTTATATATGTGATGTCTTGGCTGCATATCATTTTACTTGATTAATTTAGTAACTTCTATTAATATTATGTTAGAATTAGTCCACCTCTGTGATATATGTGGGTCCCATATAGTTGTTAGGTTAGTTTAAACATGTATTTGGATTAGGATAGTAGAGTCCGGAATCTATTGGGGAACTCAATGTGTAGGTTTTGGTTTCCTAATTGTATGGAACTAAGTTTTTTGTGAGTAGACTATTATAAATAGTCATGGAGACTATAGGTTTTGGTGAGATTAAGAGGAGGATAAAATAGAGATGTAAGGGGTGACAAAAGCTACCGTGAAGGCACTGGGGTTTACAAAGGCTCAACTACTCTGGAGCTTGGGATTCGGGTAGTGATGTGGGTTTTGAGTGTGTTGACCATCTCACATGTATTATTTATTTTTATTCATAGTGAAATCTCTCTCCCATGGATGTTGTCAATTAGTGCCAACCACATAAATCTGTTTGATTGTTTTTCTCTTTGGTGTGTGCATTGTGTTCTTCCATTCACATTGGTGGGATGTGGCATAAATCTCAACATATTCTTTAAAGTTTCCCTTTATTTAGTTCAAATGCAGTCACATATACCTTGTGGGAAGCAACCCTTTTTGTTTTTATTTTTGTTTTTTTTCTTGACAGTCAGGTTATTGCCTATTCATTAGCATTTTATTACTGCCCCTAACAGATTATTGTATTGAGTGATAGCTTTGTGCATATCTCTTAATCATCTCATTGAACAATTCACATTTTCCAGCTTTGCAATTTCTAGTGACTCGTTATGCTCATTGAACAGCCCACCCCAAACATTAAAAAAGACGGGAAAAAAAAAACCTAAAGAAGGATTTTTCTTTCTCTCTCACCACGAATCATTCTTGTATGATTGTTCCTTCATTGGGAATCTATTGCTTTCTAGTTGAAATTGTTTCCCTCACCAAGAATCATTCTTGTATGATTGTTCCTTCGTTGGGAATCTATTGCTTGCTAGTTGAAATTGTTTCCCTCACCATGAATCATTCTTGTATGATTGTGTTCCTTAATTGATATTCTCTGACAATTTTCTTTCACATTTCTCCCCCACCATTTTTTTTTTTTTTTGGTATGGAATCTTTAAAAAGATTTTGTTCAAGGACAATATTGATTCAGTGGCTCCTTTGGAAAAGGAAATTTTGTCTCACTTTGTGTTGAACTACCTAGAGGCTGGTGGTGTTATGTGTGCTATAGTTCCCAACCTCGAAACTCAAATAATTTTTAATGCCACTGTCGACATTTCTCGTTTTGGCACCTCTTACAACTATTAATCAAAGTTTTTAAAGGTAAATGTGTAACACGAGGCATTTTATCTCTTGTGAGGGGAGGCATAAGCCTCAAGACATTGAGGCATATGAATTTTGAATTTTAAATTTTGTATTAAAATAGTGAAAAAAATTAAAAATTAAATATGCTATAAGTACTTTTCTCCTTAAGGCATCAAAATATTTCATTGTAGAGATGGAAGTTTGCCCTCATCAAAGGTGAAATTGGCATTTTTAGCTTAAGTTATCTAGCTTTTCACTCTTAGTAGCAAAAAATTCCTTCTCGGTTGATGTTTCTTGCTCAGAAACACGATTCTCAGCTCCCAAGGAAGAAACCTGTAAGAAACTCGCTTCCATTGAGGAAGAAACTCACACCCAACTGAGATAGAACCTCTCAAACATACAAATCTCAAAGAAATAAAAGAAAAAATAACTCAAAACTTATTGTCAACTTTTTATTTATACTTAGCAAAAACAATTTACAGCTGACATCAATCTCCAATATTAATTCATATTTTAACGCATAATTACAACTAACAAACATAAACATCAGTGATCTTAAAAAGAATTAACTGCAGTGGGACTTGCAAAACTATTTTGTGCTCTTTTTTTTTAATGCATTTTTATTTTCCTCTGCTTTCTATATTTTTGCTCAATCACTGTATGAAAATTTCCAGGATGACGAAGATAGACCAAATCGGAGACGCTTGAAGAGAGCAGTGTCAAATCAAGATCGTCCTCCTTCCATCACTGACACAGAACCAAAAGATGCTTACCAGATGCCACTTTCAAATTTTGACTCCGAGTAATAGATGTTCAAAGGAATCGAGGTTTGACATTAAGCAAATTAAGCACATGGGGTTCTTGAACTAAAGATCAAAGTTTTATCTCCATTGTGATTATACTGATTTTTGGTCATAGGTGTATCAAGTAACTAGCAAATGGCTGCCCAACATATATACATAGATCATTTAGAAATTATACCATGAATTTTGGGAACCTATTTGAATTGATAGTTTGTTTGTTTTAGTCTCAATGTGTGACTAAATCATAACTTTGGGATAATTTTTGATTTACCTACCATTGTGTTACCTTCAAGAGCTGCATTACCTTTCTTATCTGGAAAAGGAAGCGCACATGTGCTTGTATCACTAAGTTGTATCAGTGGAGTCTTAAGGTTAATTTCATGTGCCTCCTTGAGATTTGGCAAGATAATATCTAGCCCCCAAAGGTTTCTAAGTATGAAGGGTTGGACATGGGTGTCTCCATTGAGTCTTGTTAAAAGATAAAGGTGGGTGAAAGTAAGTAAAATGTAACTATATTTTATGTATATTTTACCCAGTTTTCTTATTATTATTTTTTAAATTGCTACTCAAATTTATGATTCAAACACAACTTAAAAATATAAGTATGCTCTTTTCATGATTTGAAATAAGGACCTTTAACCATAATGCCCATGCATAACAAATCAATTTTACATTTGAAATTTTGATTTACTAATTTTAATTATGTGCTGATTTATCTGTCAGAAGGGTCATAAGGCACATGCAATGCATGTGCATTGATTGATAATCCAAAAAATATAAAAATTGCTGTTTAATTCTTAGTGATACTCTTTGTATATAAATATACGCATGTATATTATAACGTGGATATTAGATTTTTATCTAGAGGTTGTTTTGATGACAATGGATAAAAAGTTGAGGAGTGACATTTATTTGCACTTTATGAAACAATGATTTATCTTTGGTAAAAAGTTGAAGAGTAACATTTATGAAGAATGTTAATATAGATGAAAGAAAGTGAATTTATCTTATTTTAGTTTTTTTTATTAAATCAAGTCCTATCCTTCATGGCCATCCAATATATCTATATATATACTTTTAATCCATCACTTGAATTTATTGCTGGTAAAAAACAAATTAATGATCATAGGAGGAAATAAAATAAAAAAGAGAGAAACCCTATATGTGGGGATATATTTTCTGAGTACCAACACGTGGCATGGTGACGCCGACGTGTCAGCCGAGGTGCCACATGTCTTGGTTGTTATGCTGAGGTTATCTCGGCGAGGCTGAGGTTATCTCCGAAGATATCGGAATCCGAGATAAGTGAATAAGGGATAAGGGACAAGAGTCCTAGAGTAAAGAGAAGACTTAGCCAAGATAAGGATAAAACTCTTAGGGAGTTCATCTTTATCTCATGAGAAATCCAAAGTAAGCACTGAATTGGAGTCCATAGAAGTCAGGCTTCTAGTGGGACTTGGATTGAGTAAACTATAAAAGAAAGGCACCCCCATGGGTCTAAGGTACGCAATTTATGCTTTGAGCATTGAGTTTAGCACTATAGATTATCTTTGAGAGATATACTGACTTGATCGTCGGAGTGCCCCCGGGTGGACGAACCACCGCCGAAATCTTCTCTTTCTGTTACAGGTCAGCCAGGTGCCATCTATTCTGTCGGTGCTCTCCAGCTGGTTACTAAGCGGGCAGTGTGGTCAGAAAATCACTCACACAATTTGGCGCCGTCTGTGGGAAGAAGGAAGAATAAATGGCCAGTAACGGACAGAAGGAAAAGATTGGGGACGACACTCCTGCTGGGAGTGGCAGACCAATTGACCTTGACATTGAAGGAGACAACCACAATGCAGAAACCCGTGACCAGGGTCACAGAGAAAAAGGCGTCGGCCAGGAGGGCGACACTTCGAAGAAGACAGACCAAGGCAAGTACTACAATGAAGATAACCTCCAGGTATGGAGGGACAGGTGCCTATGAAGGATGAGGAAGTGGCAAACAAGCTGCCAGACCTACAGTCGGTCGTCAACTTCATGATGCAGAACAATGTTATGCAGCCAACATACCCGCTCCAAGATACGCCGATACTAGCAATTAATACCCAGAAAGGAGGAAGGAAAACAATCCCCGAAGCCCCTCAGCACACCAGGAGCGGAAGGCACTCTCACCGATCTTCCAGGGAAGTCGGACGAGAGGAGCCGAGGCAAAAAGAGTCCCGAAGGACGCATCACACGAAGGATCCAGGGCCCAAAAAGGGCAAGCACTCTGCTTTGACATAACCCATGGAGAAAGATCGAAACGGGCCCACCACGAGGCCGAAAGTAGTGTGCCAAAAAGATTGAAGTCCAGAGATAGCCGAGCTCCAGGAAGGAGTAAAGAAGACTTGAGGCATTACCTCAAAAGGAAGCAACAG